AGACTAGTTAACACATTAACAATATATGATTGTTATTCAAAGGGGATATCAGATTTTTTTTTTTTTTTTTTTTTTTTATATGTTTTAAAGTATGATAAACTAAAAAAAAAAAATCGCTTGTCAGCGGTATTTATTGGCTAGTCTTTTTGTCTTTTTCTTCAAAGATATTCGACAAGTCACAGATGTACAGAAATGCATAAGTCATAATTTTTTCAAGGTATATATAGTGCTTACATTCGTCAATTTTGAAAAGACAAAAAAAAAAAAAAAACCTATTAATCTTAAGTCTGCGGGACTCTCGAACAATTTCCATTAAAAAGAGCTTAAAAGAATAATTCTTTTTGTTCGTCGATATTAATCTTTAATCAATCATCCGAGTGCGTACTCATATATTATTCTGTATAGTTATTTATACAGTATACGTGTATTGTAATTTTTATTACATTACTATTGTATATCACTATAATAATATATTTCAATCAACTGTATCTATTATTGTATGAGTAAGATAATCCGAATTATTCAAAGACGCATCTAAAATTTACTTACTATATAAACGCAGCAATTTCCCCGCCCTCTTTTTTTTTTTTTTTTTCCTCCCAACAACAAACAAACCGTTTTTTGTTCCTGTTAGTTTATTATATACATATTTTTTTTATTTCTATATTATAAAATACCTTTTTCTTCAGGCTCTATAACTTTCGTTAGTCTTGTTGAACAAGGACTTTTTATTTTTCGAAAGTTCGTTTTTATACGGTCTTATTCGTATTATTCTATTCTATTTTTTTAAGTTCCATTTTATAAGCTCCGATTATCTACGCTTCCTAAAAAAAAAAAAACAAGTTTAAAAAAAAAAATTCTAAACAAAAAAAAAACCTTCAAAAAAAATTATATATTTCAACGACTTTTTTTTTGTAAAAAACTTATGACCGCTCTCGCTGGCAGCTTACTTAACAACATGCCATTCATCGAACAACCATACGGTAGCTTTGGTATTTGCGCTGACAGTTTCTGTCCTGTCGATTATGCCGAACAATTCGTAAAAACCGAATATTATCAAACCCCAAAACAGTTGCAACCTCAACAACCACCGCAGCAACCTCAAGAACAATTTTCTATGTTGCCGATTTCAGGTTCCACTTCCCCTCAACAACCTGTACCAAATGTGGTTTTCTCACAAAATTCACAAATTCCTCAATTTGATAATAATGACCAAAATGTTAAATTCGAACCTGTTTCCTCGATACCAATCAAGTCGGAATTTGGATTTCTCGATATGGATTCTGTTTCTAGTGCTGGATCTTCACCTAATCTTGTAGCTTCAAATGATTTTGAAAACCAATTCAATTATAATTATCCACCACCTCTTTGTGAAGAAACTCCAAGTGAAGCTACATCACCAACAACCGATATTCATTTTCCTTTAAATGATCAAATTGCTCAATATTATGAGATTTGTAGTCGTTCACCAATTGATCATCAAAATTCTCAACCTTCATTTGATCAAATGCGTTTTATCATTTATGAACCTCGTCAAAATGATAGTACATCACTCGTTCCAAATATTAATTCACAAAATACTTATGGAATGTGGCCAGTATCTATTCAAAATGGTAATATTGATAATAGAACTATTTCCACTAATCCTCAACCAATGCAACCGATTTCTTTTGATTATCAGTCGAATCCAGTTTTAGTAAATCCGGCACAAATAAATCCACTTCCTTCAGCTTCATCTTCACCACAACAACAACCTGCTCAACAACCTCAATCGGTACAAAATCAACAACAACTTATTAAATGTCCACATGAAGAATGTACAAAAACTTTTAGTAGGTTGTATAATCTTAAGGCACATCTTCGTTCTCATTCACCTGCTCGTCCGTATCAATGTCCAATGTGCCCAAGATCTTTTTCAAGAAAACATGATTTACAAAGACATATTCGTGTACATACTGGAGTTAAACCTTATCAATGCCCTTGTTGTTGTAAAGCTTTCGCTCGTACTGATGCTCTTCGTCGTCATTTTAAAATGGAAGAGAATTGTAGAAAATCTCCTGAAGTTCAAAATATGAAAACTAGAAGACGATATACGGATTTAAATTAAATTAATTAATGTTAGTTAATTAAGTTGGTTAATTAAGTTAGTTGATTAACTAACAATTAGTCTTAACTAACAATTAGTCTTAACTAACAATTAGTCTTAACTAACAATTAGTCTTAACTAAGAATTGGTTTTAACTAAGAATTAGTTTTAACTAAAGATTAGTTTTAACTATGAATTAGTTAACTAATAATTGATTAATTATCAAATCCTTTTTTTTAAACTTTATTATTATTATTTGGGTTATTCTTTCTGGTTTTGGGGTTGGGAAAAAAAAAAATTATCTAATCGGTAATCGGTAAAGTGGTATAAAAAAAAAAAAACCAAAAAAAAAATTTTGTGGTATATAAAACGCATTTATTTTAGAAAAAAATTTTGTACTTCATTTTTTTTCCCAGAAAAAAAAAAACAAACGAACAATTGATTTTTCTTTTTTTTTTTCTCACATCATCGTTTATTATTATTTTTCATGGTACCAATTTCTTTTTCGAAATTCGATTTATTTTTTTTTTTTTGCTTATAAATCTTGTACAATTCATTTTTTTTTCCTTCTTGAATTAATTTTCAAGAAATAATTTTTTTTCATCAAAAACGAACGATTTTAAATTCATGAATTTTTTTTTTTTACGAAATTATATGTATACATACATTTCATTTATTCATATCCTTTTATTTTTTTTCCTGGACGGTTATACTATAAACTTCACTAAGAACAATATAAGAATGTACGCTATTCCTCGCACTTTTTTTTCTTTTCTGTATATACAATTAGACTTTATATAACAAGATTTATAAGGCAAATAAGCAATCTACGATTTATTAAAAAAACATCAACATTACGACAAATTTTTGTAAAATTATTAAACAAAAAAAAAAAATTTTATATAAAGCTTTTTTTTTTCAAGGAATTATATTTACAAAGTTCTAGCACAAAAAGTTCTAGCAAAGTTCTAGCAAAGTTTTAGTAAATTTTTTTTTTTTCGAAATGTTCAAAATGAATGAATTAAATGATTTTAATGAATTGAATAAAATTTGAGGAACAAAAAAGCACAAAAAAAAAATTTTAGCATATCATTAAATTCGATGTCCCTGTGTTTTCGTTTTTTTTTTTTTTTGTTTTTTAATGTGTTTTGTGTTTTGCGTGTATTTTTTTTTAATGATCTTAATTAAAAATGGAGACAGATTTAGAGAATGAAACTTGATATTACTCGCTATTTTTTTTTTTAAATGATCTTAATTAAAAATGGAGACAGATTTAGGGAATAAAACTTGAAATTACTCGCTATTTTTTTTTTTTTAATATCTTTTGAATACAGGTAAATTCACGTAAATAAAGTATGATTTACTATATTTAATGTAAGAATGAATTACGGTAACAAGCTTTTTTTTTTATTGATTAATTAAACTTGATTCTTTGATACTTTATCATAAGTTTTCTTTTTTTAATAAGTGATTTACTATTTGATTTACTATTTGATTAACTATACAGTATTAAAATATCAAAGATGTACGCACATACCTTTTTGATTCATTTTGATTTATTTTGATTTATTTTAATTCATTAATGTTTTTTTTTTTTCTCCTCAATACCTTGATATACTTGATATACTTATTATACTTATTATACTTATTATAGTTGAGTTGATGTAGTTAATGACGTGATAGACAATGCTTAGTGCTAGCTTGGTTAATATCAAGGACCTACGTAGGTTAAATGTTAACGTGCTAGTACTAACGCATCAACGAAATAATTAAATAACGCAATAATACATTAAATACACAACACATTAACTAGACTAGTTAACACATTAACAATATATGATTGTTATTCAAAGGGGATATCAGATTTTTTTTTTTTTTTTTTTTTTTTTTTTTTTGTTCGAACGATAATTAACAATAAAGAATTTTTTTTTTTCTTTTTCATTTTTCATCTTTATTCGCTCACATCTTTTTTCACACACTTCTTTTTCCTTTTTTTACAATAAATCATTTCTTTTCCAAATTTGGAATTCAAAATCATTTGTCTTATCCATTTAGCATAATGAAACAAGTAATCTAATAATAATAATACATTAATCATACAGTAATAATACAGTAATAATACAGTAATAATAACAAGTAATAATAAGTAATAATAAGTAATAATAATCTACTAGAGGATGAAAAGGAGTTTTTTCTTTGTATGTGAATGATTAAATAATCAAAGAACCCAAACTTATTTGATAATTTCTTTTTTCGTGTGGTTCAAAAAAATTTTTTAACTTTTTTTATTTTTCTTCGATGTTTGCCGAAAATCATTATGCATGAAACACAGGTAATCAAAGAAAAAAAAAAAAAAGATGAAACACTTTGGGTTGTGATTTTAAAGAATGCGTGTGAAACGATCAGAAAAAAAATTTTTTTTTCGTTTATTCAATGATTCGTTGAACTTTTTTTTTTTTTTTATGTTATATTTTGTTATACTATGTTATACTATATTACTATATTACTATGTTATTATGTTACTATGTTAAAACATCATGGTCAAATAAGATCGTAAAATTTTATGACAATCTAATGACAGTTCGATGACAATCTACCATTATAATGTAAAAGCAGCTCCCTCGTGCTCATGCATGCCTCTATTTTTGTGTAATTTGTATCATTACCTTTTTACAATAAACCTTTATTTTTATAAAAAAAAAACAATCCGAAAAAATTTATTATGAAAAAAAAATTTGTTTATTATGTAATATCAATCGATGTCTCGTGTTAATGCGCTATAAACCAAGTTATAGTTTAGCGTTCGTTTTTTTTTTTTTTTTTTGATTTCTTTTCATAAAAATCCTATATCGAAATTCTCATTATATCTATACATCGAAATTTGATATTGATTAAATCAAATTACAAATTATATTTATGAATTTATAATTTCGATTATAATTCATTACATGAAAAAAAAAATATATATTGTTTTTGGTTATCGTTCTCATTATTATAATCAAATAATAATAATCGAAGCATAACAATCGAAATAAATGAATGAAGGTTTTAATGAATAAATGATTGGAATGAATAAATGATTGGTTGAAAATGAATGATTAACTGGATTTGTTTTTTTTTGATTAAAATGGGTTCAATGAAAATGAGTGAAGTGAATGAATGAATGAATGAATAAACATCATAATTATAATTATTGTAAATACTTGAATATTGATAACGAAACTAGAACTATTGAAATAAACCTTCGCGAATATTCTGGAATCTACTAGTATCTGCTTTTTTAGAATCATATCAAGTTTTGTAAGTTGCAAAAGTACGTGCGTACATATCCAGTTTTTGTAAATATGTATATATATATATAATATATATATATAGAAGATATGTATATTTTTATACGTTTGGCTAGTTTATAAAAAAATTTTTACGATAACGATAACGATAACGATAACGATACAGTAATTGCGATTTACAAAAAGTAAATTATCCCGAGAATTGATGTTTTTACATTAGAAAGTATATTTTATATTATATATTAGATATATATTAGATATGTATTAGAATGTGTATTTTATATTACATTAGAAAGTATAATTTATATTATATATTAGAATGTATGTTTTACGTTAGAGTGTATGTTTTACGTTAGAATGTATGCTATGTTATAACTCATGGATTCCTGTGTTCGTATTGTTTCAAAAAAAAACTTTGCGCTAGCGAGTAAATATGTACACGTACTTAGTTAGGTACCTCATATTATACATTTTATATTGACAAACTCACATTATACATCTCACATTGACATATTTCATATTATCTCCTAATTATTATAACTTAAAACCGATTTTCAGGTTTTTCATTTTATAAGGAGAATAACCTAAAACCGAATGATTATACGTATCGAATGATTTATACAGTATTTCCATAATATTTTTGACAATATAACATGTGCATAACTTTATATGTATAACTTTGTACTTAGTTACGTACGTAACTTTATATATAACTTTACATATAACTTTATATATGGATTCATCCCAAAAAAAACAGATAACCAAACCACGCGACCAAAGTAAACTCGATCCTTCATGCGTGAAAATCCTTAAAAAGTATAACAGGTAATTATTAGACGTATAAAAAGTATACGATGACAGCATAATGCATATTTTTTATAAATGATTTGATTGATTGACCGATGAATTATTCATAAAATTTATAATTATTATTATTATTATTATTATTATTATTATTATTGTAATTATTATTATAATTATTATTATAATTATTATAATTAGGTTAATCAATAAAAAGAATAGGGGAAATCTTGCAACTTGTTTTTTTTTAAAAAAAAGGATTTATTTAAATATAACCAATTACATTTATTGATTATTAGTATGAATGAATAAGTATAATAATAAAAAGAATGAACGCATATTCAATACATTTAATACATCTAAAATATATTCAAAATATATTCAAAATACATTTCAAATACATTTAAAATACATATAAAATACATCTAAAATACATTCAAAAGTAAGTATATTATTCAATACATTTAATATATCCATTGTATTTATTTTATTTTTTTTGAAAAATTTTGACAGCTGTACAGAGAAAAAAAGTGACAGCAAACATAATATCTCAATCAATGCGTTTTTTTTACCAAAATTGACAATTTTAATCTTGAATTTCAGTTATTAAACAAATATAGTAATGAATCTAGTGGCACATTGTTCTCTTTCTTAACCGTTAAGAATCAGATTCCAATATAAACGATTAATATTGTTTTTTCTTTTTTTTTTTTTTATTTCAAGGAGAATTAAAGGACGATCATGCATTCTTGAATGGAAAAAATGGAAAGACAAAAGGGGTCTTGAATGAATGAATGAATGAATATGAATGAATGTGAATGAATAAATGCAGTGTTTCAAAAGAAAAAAAGTACATACGTACGTAGTATAATCATACATTTTTTTATGTATTGTTTGATTTAAATACGATGTTGATCTAATACCAATAAAGGAATTAAAACGAAAATACTTTATTTGGATATAATAATAACAAGCCAATCAAATTTAATAAACTTATTTTTCGAAATTAAAAAAATGTTTGTTAGCCAATCAAACTTTATACTATCTTTCTTCGAAATTAAAACAAAGTGAATTCATTGTTTCTTTGATTACATTGACGGTTAATCGTTTAGTCTCGGTTTCTTGTTAGTCTTATCAGTTTCTTATCAGTCTCAGTTTCTTATTCTTATTAGTCTCAGTTTCTTATCATTTATCACAATCTTACCACAATCTATGTTATCACTATGTTACTTGTTACTTGCTGCGTTAGTTACTACGTATGTTATTTTCTACCTACGCCATTTCATACAATTTTCTGCTACGTATGCCACTATCGCTTACTGTTACTCAAATAAGCCATAACGATAACAAACAATTTTCTTTTTTCTTAAACGAAGGATCGTACCAATTCACGTCTCACGACATGAATTAAAAAATTCCTAGTTTGTCGAAAATGTCAATTATATGGCGTACGTCAAAAAATTTTTATTTCTTGCATATTAGTTTATTACTTTGCCGCTTTTTCAAATAAAGAATTTTTTATAAAGATGTTTTGAAAAAAAACCTTTTTTTTTTTTTCTTGTTTTAATTAATTAATTAATTAATTAACTATTCGAGATCTTTTTGACAGATGAACAAATAAAGAACTATAATAATAAAAAAAAAAGAAGCAACACATACATTTGCATAATACATTAGTCAGATTCTATTATTCACTCAAGGAATTAATGATTGGTCTCAAAGAAGGAAATAAAAAATTTTTTTTGACAATATCAAAGAAATAGTTATTCATAGTAAAAAAAGTACCGTAATTCGGACAAATCCATAAAACCCACTGAGAGTAAACAAGTAGTCGTAATTAAGTAAAAAATGAGGTGATCCTTGTCGATTGTGTAAATGTATCTACCTACGTACTTGCCTTATTATTATTAATAGTAAAAATGGTAAACGTTATCGTTATACGTACGTCGAAAATGCGGAAATTAAATTTATATTACAAATATGAAATCATTTTTTATCCTATAACCCCATAAATTTTTTCAAAATTTTTTTTTTTTCAATTATCAAAACTTTGAATTGTTTTTTCCATTGTTAAGTTGATCATGCAAGTAATGTAAGATGAGTCATGTAAGATAAGTCATGTAAGATAAATCATGTCAGATATTAGATTTTAAGTGCACATCGATGAATGTTTCTTTTGTTTTCTGAATTCGGTCATGAAATATAAAATCGATTTGACTTGATTTAATTAATACGTAACCCTTTTTTTAATGGTTCAGCTAATTCGGCCGTTTATCTCTAACTTCCAATTCCCTAACCCTTTTACCCTTTTACCCTTAATAAACTTTTTATCATCGCTTTAAAGTCATCCGATTTTCGTTTTAGAATCGTCGATTTTAAAATTTAGAATACTAAAATAAGAAATTTATAAAAGATTATTAAAATTAAGAAATTTATATGAGGCCGTTTCGGGTATCGTCAGTCCATGATTGTGGCACGGTTATAATGAAATGTCACAAATAGAAATAACAATAAACTAAAAAAAAAATTATTAATTACAATGAAAAAAATTGGATGATTTCATTCTTCTTTTTTCAATTACATTTCCGTTGAGGCACAATGGCTGTGAA